AACAAACACAAGACACAAATACACACTCAAGTGACTCAAGAGTGGACAACAAACAGAAAACATAAATACACACTCAAGTGACTCAACAGTAGTATACAAACACAAGACACAAATACACACTCAAGTGACTCAACAGTAGTAAACAAACACAAGACACAAATACACACTCAAGTGACTCAAGAGTGGACAACAAACAGAAAACATAAATACACACTCAAGTGACTCAACAGTAGTATACAAACACAAGACACAAATACACACTCAAGTGACTCAACAGTAGTAAACAAACACAAGACACAAATACACACTCAAGTGACTCAAGAGTGGACAACAAACAGAAAACATAAATACACACTCAAGTGACTCAACAGTAGTATACAAACACAAGACACAAATACACACTCAAGTGACTCAACAGTAGTAAACAAACACAAGACACAAATACACACTCAAGTGACTCAAGAGTGGACAACAAACAGAAAACATAAATACACACTCAAGTGACTCAACAGTAGTATACAAACACAAGACACAAATACACACTCAAGTGACTCAACAGTAGTAAACAAACAGAAGATACAAATGTTCGATCATCATATCATCAAAGGAACATTAACATAGAAACATATAGACACTCAGCAAATACACACTCAAGTGACTCAAGAGTAGTATACAAACAGAAAACATAAATACACACTCAAGTGACTCAACAGTAGTATACAACAGAAGACACAAATACACACTCAAGTGACTCAACAGTAGTATACAACAGAAGACACAAATACACACTCAAGTGACTCAACAGTAGTATACAACAGAAGACACAAATACACACTCAAGTGACTCAACAGTGGTATACAAACAGAAGACACAGATACACACTCAAGTGACTTCAAAGCAGTGTACAGAGAGCAGAAACAAATAAAGAGATAATAATTTCAGGAAGAACAGATTAAATTTATTATTACTTTCCGTGTTTCATTGTTAAAGAAGATATCGGTAAAAAAAACCGATTAAATTACATTAATTTATCATGATTTATAAACTTATAAGTACCGTAATAAGTGTTTTTGTAAGCTCTTCTAACAACCTCATTGAGAGATATTATTTGTTACTTTAACTTGTAGCTTCGACCAACTTTAGTTTTGTTAAGTAACTTTAGGTATTATAACTATTATATACCAAGTGTTCACATCATAGCTCTTACAGCTAGCCATTATAATATACCAAGTGTTCACATCATAGCTCTTACAGCTAGCCATTATAATATACCAAGTGTTCACATCATAGCTCTTACAGCTAGCCATTATAATACACCAAGTGTTCACATCATAGCTCTTACAGCTAGCCATTATAATACACCAAGTGTTCATATCATAGCTCTCACAGTAAGCCATTATAATATACCAAGTGTTCACATCATAGCTCTCACAGTGAGCCATTATAATACATCAAGTGCTCACGTAATAGCTCTCACAGTGAGCCATTATAATACATCAAGTGCTCACGTAATAGCTCTCACAGTAAGCCATTATAATATACCAAGTGCTCATCTCATAGCTCTCGCAGTAAGACATTATAATATACCAAGTGTTCATATCATAGCCCTCACAGTGAGCCATTATAATATACCAAGTGTTCACATCATAGTTCTCACAGTGAGCCATTATAATATACCAAGTGTTCACATCATAGTTCTCACAGTGAGCCATTATAATATACCAAGTGTTCACATCATAGCTCTCACAGTGAGCCATTATAATATACCAAGTGTTCACATCATAGCTCTCACAGTGGGCCATTATAATAGACCAGGTGTTCAGATCATAGCTCTCACAGTGAGCCATTATAATAGACCAGGTGTTCAGATCAAATATTATTATAATTAGATTATTACAGTATCTTATAATCAGCGGCAGCATGAAGTACTCCAAATGTAACTGACTATTGTAAGAATTCTTATTGTGAACCATTCTTCATGTAGAGTCATGGTGATATTTATATTTCCCCCTCTTATTTTATCACCATGACTCTACATGAAGAATGGTTCAAAATAATAGGGGGAAATATAAATATCACCATGACTCTACATGAAGAATGGTTCATTTATATTTCTCCGTATTATTTTGAACCATTCTTCATGTAGAGTCATGGTGATGTTTATATTTCCCCCTCTTATTTTTAATCATTCTTCACGTAGAGTCATGGTGATGTTTATATTTCCCCTCCTTGTTTTGAACCATTCTTCACGTAGAGTCATGGTGATGTTTATATTTCCCCTCCTTGTTTTGAACCATTCTTCACGTAGAGTCATGGTTATATTTCCTCCTCTTTATTTCCTTCAGGGACCGTCAGTGAACACTCGTTGTTAGAAACGTGAATACCAATACATTTATTGATGCACTAGCTAAGAACATCGTTTCATTCTTAACGTGTTGAAGAGAGAACATAAGTGTTTCATAGGTCGTTTGATAAAGAATGTGAATTTCTACGTACCATAAGAATGCTCCAACATTTTAACATTTTCAGTGACTGTATAAAGGTGGAACTTTCATCTGCAATACTTTACATACAAGTAATTAATAACTACGACAGCTATTCTAGTCCGAGCGTTTTGTTTCAACTACAATGAATGACACTAAATGTGTTACAACAACACGAGGGGATGTATTGTTTTGTGTTAAACGTGTTACAACAACACGGGGGATGCATTGTTTTGTGTTAAACGTGTTACAACAACACGGGGGATGTATTGTTTTGTGTTAAACGTGTTACAACAACACGGGGGGATGCATTGTTTTGTGTTAAACGTGTTACAACAACACGGGGGGGATGCATTGTTTTATGTTAAACCGAGGAAAATATAATTAAGTATCTGCATAACGAGAGTAGATGTATTGCTTTAACTATAGAATGATGACACTACAATGAATGACACTAAACGTGTTACAACAACACGGGGGGATGCATTGTTTTGTGTTAAACAGAGGAAAGTATATTTAAGTATCTGCATAACGAGAGTAGATGTATTGCTTTAACTATAGAATGATGACACTACAATGAATGACACTAAACGTGTTACAACAACACGGGGGGATGCATTGTTTTGTGTTAAACAGAGGAAAGTATATTTAAGTATCTGCATAACGAGAGTAGATGTATTGCTTATTGGTTGTAATTAAGCACAAAGCTACACAATGGGCTATCTGTGCTCTGCCCACCACGGGTATCGAAATCCGATTTCTAGCGTTGTAAGTCCGCAGATATACCGCTTTGCTACTGGGGGCTAACTATAGAATGAAGGTGGAAGAGAGATTAAAGATTCAATTTTATTTTTTTAACTGACACTAAATGGAAGCTTATCACAAAATAACAAAATAGATCTTAAATTTGATCGTCTAAAAGTGCAGGAGTGGGTGTAGTCTATAAATATACATGAAAATACAGGAGTGGGTGTAGTATATAAATATACATGAAAGTATAGGACTGGGTGTAGTATATAAGTATACATGAAAGGACAGGAGTGGGTGTAGTATATAAGTATACATGAAAGGACAGGAGTGGGTGTAGTATATAAGTATAC